ATCATGACCTAAGCGAAAGTCGGACGCTTAACCGACTAAGCCACCCAGGCGCCCCTCTTGTTTCTCTTTGAGACAACTTGTATTTGCTGCTAGTGATGATAAAGAGAAGCATGATTTCTCTTATTGATATGGAAGATTCTAGAAGAGCAACTGTAGGTGGTGAAACAGAGTATAGCTTCTTATCACTGCTTCTGTTTTTAATTGATTGATAGAAACCTTTTATTTCCCAAGAGAAGTTAAAAATTTTTTCCTTAAATATGATACAGCTGAAAATATTTACTTATAATAGTTGGCAATTTTTCCATTTTGCTGGAACATAATAGAATTCATCATGTTATACAGATGTTCTTGAAGTCATTATTCACTGTACTTGTTCTAAGCCAACAGCACCCTGACGCAACTAGGATATAAAGATATACCATTGCATTATAAAGATATACCAATGCATTTCTCAAGAGCTGCCATATAACTAATGTTGACTGTGTCATCCAAAAAAAAAAAACAAAAAACAAAAAACAAAAAACTCCTGTGAGTCACCTTCCAAGGTAACTGAACATATGAGCATACAGGGCCTCCTACTATGTTTAGCAGATGGGAGCACCAGGTCATGCTGGCCTCATCTCAGCCTGATTTTATCAGATGTAGCGTTTTTTAGATTTCTTCTACTGACATTTTTTTTTTTTTACGATGTGAGAAAGGTGAGACCTAACCATTAGTTATAATTGTGGGGGTGGGGGGATGTCAGGAAATTAAAGAAATTAAAGAAAAATGTATTTTAAAATTCCATCTCTACTTTTGGTGTGGTCTTGGGTGAGACACTTTTGTTTGCCTTGGTTGTCTTCTCTTTAAAATGAGGATAATACTACTTCACAGGATTGTAAAGTTTGAGGTAGATAATGTATATCAGCACTTAACACAGTGCTGGGAACATGAGCTCTTGGTTCATGGTTGTCAATATACGATTTAGTTAGATTCAATTCAGTCTCATCAGATTAGGGAGTATGATTGGAAAGTATAAAATTTGAGTAGCAAACATTTGGATCACTCTTCTAAATTTAAGTTGAGGATTAAAATGCAACTATCTTATATGACAAATGTAGGCATTGAGGCATATTGTAAACTACAGATAAACCAAGTGAATTAAACATATATATTAACTCTATTCTTGCAGTTGGATTCTAATTTTGCAAAATTTTTAATCTTTCATTGGAAGGGAGGGAGGGAGGGAGGGAGGAAGGAAGGAAGGAAGGAAGGAAGGAAGGTAGGAAGGAAGGAAGGAAGGAAGGAAGGGATGGGTGATAGGTGGGAAGGAAGGTGATTTTTATTTTTAAAAAATTGTTAAGTTTATTTATTTTGTGGGGGAGGGGGAGAGAAAGAGAGGGAGAGAGAATCCCAAGCAGACTTCACCCTACCAGCTTGGGATTAAGCAGGCTCCACACTCAATGTGGAGCCCAACAGGGGGCTCAGTCTCATGACTGTGAGATCATGACCTGAGCTAAAATCAAGAGTCAGACGCTTAACTGACAGAGCCACCCAGGTACCCCTAGGAGAGGGATTTAGAATAGGATTTGTCCTTGAATTTTCTCCCAGGGCTCAGTGAAAGCTGTAAATGACTAGCAGATGTTGCAGGCACAGTAAAACTGCTATAGCCCAGGATAAGAAGGCACTGACCCCATGGTCCCATTTGCTCAGACTGAACCCTGTGGACTCAGATTCCCTCACACTCATCTTTCCTCAGCATGCGGAATGGCTTCTCAGCCTCCAGGAACCTCCATATCAGAGGATTCTCTTAAGGATCACATCAAAACACCCAAGCTCCCTCCTCAGGGGAGATTCTGGTCACCTCTGGAGTAGGTCTTCCTGCTGTTTTCTAATCCACTAGTTCTGCTAATCAGACTTCGGTGGTGATGAAGTGTTCAATAATGCTTCTAGGATAGAACTTAAGTATGCTGCTGTCTTGTATGCACATGAACCCTGGATTCTCTTGCTGGGTTAATGATTTGAATGTGGTCTGGCTTACCCCAAACACTAAGAGGTTTGAATTTTCTCACATATACTGAGCTTATCTGATTTCCATTATATCCTTCTTGCAACCACATCTTACTGTCCTGTTAAGACTTTTCTAGCATAGGTTTTCTTAGGCTCCAAGATAGCTCCTTTGGTCAGTCAGTTTGGAACAGGTTAGTCATGTCCTTTCTGCACCCCCAAACAGAACAGCATCTATACCTACCAGGAGAATACGTGTGTCTACTGGTTAGGAGGAAGTCTGTGTCTTCATTTCCAAGATGGAACTGAACACCGATGTGAATGGATGAGCCACCTCTTGTGCCTGACCTCTTTGTCCATTCTAGCCATGAATGTTCCTAACATTCCATATCATCATAGCCCCAAGTCATAATGGGCCAGCATTTGCCATTTATCAGAAGGGAACAAATACTGGCTTCAAGGTTTGGAAAAGTGAAATGCCTCAATAAGTGAAAGCACTTAGGGTTTCCCTATCCCCACATGATTCTAAAGATCCCTTTCAGTTCTAAATTTATATGACTTTTGTCCAATTGAGAAAATGGTCAAAATAGGTTGCAAAGATAAATAGCCATCTGCTAATAACTGCATAGTCAGGGATGTGGCTGATTGAATAAATATATTGAGGACTATGAGCCACCTGTGTGTTAGGTGCTGGAAATAAAACAGTCCTTATGTCATGAGGCCTTCATTCTATGAGCTAATCTAGGATGTGAGAAATCCCAGGACCCACACGACACTCACAGCCCTCACCGCAGCTTCTGCGTCCTTCATCATTGTGAAGTCAGGCAGATGCTACCTGGGAAGTGCACTGATCAGCCTGTTACCTTCATGAACAAACCCAAGTTGGCTCAAGCTTTCTATTTCCACCCTCTTGTTTCATGTCTGCTTTTGAAACCATTTTGTTCTCTGCTTGATTCTTTACTCCAGTACTGTGTGCATTTCCAGCCAGACTGGAATGAATAGAATATGCATTGGCGATTGTCTGAAACAGAGCCTAAGTTGCTTTTCTTAGTTTTCTCTTTAGCTAGTGGGATCATTTGTAACTTTTCTGTTTTGATTCTCATTTATGCTCTACCTGGGCCTATTTACAAAAGCATAGAAAAATACACACTCCCCCCCTCTAATTTTTGAAAAATACTTTCATCTTATTCTTTCCAGGTGGCATAAAAATAACATCAATAATATTAAACAGTTATTTATTGAGCTTTTACTATGTACCAAGCATGGGGCAAAGCATTTGATCTGCATGACCTTGTCAGACCTTGGATGGGAAACCCTTTGAAGCAGGTGCTACTAGCATCTCCTTTTACAGCCCTGAGAATTTAATGAAGATGCCTCAGGTTATGTGGTTAATAACAAAAGTCTTTCAATGAATACCTCAAGGAGATTCTCATATGTGGCATGTTATATTATAATTTCAAAATCTGGCTTATTATTACTTTTGAGTGGTTTGCATTAAAATAAGAAATATCACACTGAATTAGAACCAGTGTTTGATCTGGACATTGTCTTTTATTGGACCATTGCTATGTTTTTACAAATTAAGAGTATGTCCTTGTGCTGTCACCTCAAAAGTTAGGAATGTGATCCCTCCCTTAAGTAAGTTAGCCCATCTGGACCATATGTATATATATATGTGTGTGTGTGTGTGTATGTGTGTGTGTGTGTATATATATACACATATATATATGTATATATAGTCCAGCACCTATCACATATGTCATAAAATATTTGTAAGCATACTTATCATCCCTGTAAGATGTGAGTTCCATGTAGTCTCAGACCTCAGCTTTCTTCATTTCTGAAGCCCAGTGTTGGGCATTTGTTGGAATAGAGCAAGTCTCCATTGAATATACAAATACTGAAAATATTCTAAACATCCTATTTTCCTTTAGTAATTATATATTCATGAAGTCACTGAAATTACCTTTGAAGCTCATTTCCAACTGGTACTGCCTCTTTTTTTTTTTTTTTACAAATAGTTTATTGTCAAATTAGTTTCCACATAACACTCAGTGCTCATCCCCACAAGTGCCCTCCTCCATGCCCATCCCCCCCTCCCCCCCACATCCATCAGTCCTCAGTTTTTGTCAGCATTCAAGAGTCTCTCATGGTTTGCCTCTCTCCCTTTCCCCCACCATTTCCGCCCTTCTTCCCCCCCTTGTTCCTCCGTCAAGTTCCTCCTAATCCTCCTATACGTGCAAACATGATATTTGTCCTTCACTGCCTGACTTATTTCGCTCAGCATAACGCCCTCAAGGTCCA